GATTCTCGGATTATCTGTAATATTGGAATGATAACAAATTGGGTATGATGCTAGATAGACCACATAAGCGCTGCTGATTGGCTAGAGTCATACCGTGGCGCGGAAGTCAAGGGGCTGAGGTCACATGGTAGATGATATATTTAGATCTAGGCCTAGTTGTTCTACGGTTTGTCTGGTTTGTCCAAGTTTACCATAAGGCTCTCAAGGGGTTTTAGTGCAATGCCTGATAACTTGTAACTTACTTATCTTACCGATTATGACCAAAGTACCGTGTATGGAGCGGGTATTGCGTCTGGCAAGAGCTTTGTACTGTATATACAGAAGATTATAACTTTAGGTGCGGCCTGCTCAAATTAATAAGGCTAGCATCTAAGCAGTGATTTGGAAACAATAATAATGGGTTCTTGGTCAAGAGGATGCCAAGATTTACTATTCTATACATGTAAAATATAGGTGGAGGTATAAAATATCTTCTATCGCTGTTTAAAAACATAATAATTCTAGAAAGATTAAAATTGAAATGCAAATCTCAAAAGCTTTGTTTTCCACCTGATATGGAACCAAAATCCACTCTAGTTGATACATGCTTATGATTAGTCTATATCCATCAACTACACAATGCTCAGAGATTTGAAACAGGTTGTGTTTCTTGCAAGGGATCCAGCACCACGAATCCGCTCCATCGCCTGCCCAGAAAGCCTTTTAACCAATATTATCTGCAGCTAAAAGAATACAGTTATTGGTGGTCATATTCCTCATCTGCTTTGCTGAGTGTATGTATAGTTAGCTCAATTTACGTACTGCATTCCATGCACCTTTCTGTGCGATTAATAGTCACCATACTTGACTCTTTGAGTAGAACATCTAGAATCTTCTCGGTTTGTGCCCTTTCTTATCACGATAGTTTGAGAGATGCTACGATTTAGTTCATTATGTCCCAATTCGTACCTGTCCAGAAAGCAGCTGTGTATATTATACATGTCACTGCCGCTGGATTGCTGAAACAGTTCTGGACAAGACCGAAGTAAGTGCTTTAGGGCCTTTTGCGACCCAGCTGAGCCTGTCTCAGAGGCCCCGGCATTGCTCCCTTCAGCAGCGTGCCGTTTCTTGCTAGGATACTTGTCCTCTATTTCACCGCACCTTTTGTGGTATGTTTACCCATTGTTCTTGGATCAGTCATGCCTGTAATGTTGTCATACACCCGTACATACCTGCATGAGAATGTGGCGGCTGCGTGGGTATCTTTACAGGCGAGTCTGGCCAAGTAAGTCACTGCAAAGCTGCCCAACTTTAGTGGCTAACAGACCGCTGGTCCAGCCCATGGGGAATCCTCTTCCACAAACTTTCCAGAGTAGCCAGGTTGATAATGAACTTGAGCCTAATAAATAGGGAGTCATCTCTTCCACAGGGTTTCGAGTTTTTCGTTTCTTTGTATATGGTCGGAGCTTCTCTCCGGGATCAATTCGTGTTTGTCCTCACAATGACATCTGTATCTATCGGCCAGGCTGAGGACGGACACTGCCCAGCCTGGCCACAGGATGAAGTTACGGAGTTATCAGCCTACCTTAGAACCGATTTATTCTTTCCTCCACTCGAGGGCTATTGCGACCCAATTGTGATAGGGGATACACAAGGAGAACTTCTGGCTCCTCCGTCTACGATAATGACCGATACTGTGATCGGCGACAGCAGAGAACCTTCTTGGCCGGAACAATATCCTAATCTTGTCGCACCGAAGAGCCTAGTCTCGATGGAAGGCTCCGCTGAAAGCCAGCCACTTTGTGTTAATCTCATGGAAATTCCGACTTTGTCCACAGTGGGACTGGACTCACAGGCACTGCCTCTTCCAGACCAATCTCTATAGAGAATGGGCTTAGATGGATGCCTGAGTGGTGAAGCTCACACGCCAGCTGTGGTCGTTGGAGGACGGGACGATTCAGCGACATGTGCTTTGAGATTTCCGGAAGCGCCGATGCCTTCTTACCACCAGAATGTTTCTACAGTTGATGGGCTATATTTTTGCCAACATCGTGCATGCGTGACCAAGACTGGCTTTTCAAGGAAGCGTGATCTGCAGTAAGCTACGCTATCACTTTCTCTGTTCATCCTGCTGACTCTTCACAGAAAGCATATGCGCATTCATTTTAAGCCAGTTGAATGTCCCATATGTACGGTTACCACGGCTCAGCAGATTCATATGCGTCGACATATCGAAGTACATCACGGTGGCTGGGCTCGGCAGTTGTGGCAAGTGGGCGCTGTGTGTAATTTGTGCGGTAAATCATTCACACGGAGAGACAATCTTCGCAGGCACTACCGAACTCAGCATGAAGGTATTAGTAGTCTCTCTGTGTCCGATTGAGCAGTTTCTTATGTCGGGCCTTAGTTTTATCGAGTTCAGTGACGGGGTTTTGAATAGTACCTTATTCCCTTCAGAATCGTAACGTCCGCAAGATGTAGAAGTACAACCGCCTCCTGCTTGTAACCAAGACTTCAAAGATGATCTGCGCTTACGTGTTTCAATGAGAGTAAGAACAAGGAAAAGAAAAAGGTGTGGAATACTCAAGAATCAGAAAGGGTAAACCAAATTAAATTGCAAGCCAAAATCCGCTGCCACGTTATGCCTTGAGAGAGACCCCGCCACAATCTGCATCGTAGTCTTCATCCGACACGTGTATCTTGAGCTCCTTTGTGCCCCAAACCTTCACTGTGCTACGTTTAGCTGCCTCCGTTTCTAAGCTGCCGTCAGCAATCGAACATTGGAACGTATTTTTTCGAAGCTCATCTAGATCCACGCGAGACCACCGGTCATCTGAGATTGCTGTCAGGGAATCAGGATGCCAGGGACTTGATGATGAGTGACCAAGGATATCAGCAATAACATCCCGCCGAATGTCACTTGTCATCTCATTGAGGACCTTCACCTGCAAATCGTATTCTGGATCTCCCTTCGTGGGATTGTTGACTAGTGGCGGGCTCCAATTAGCCCAGACTTTGCGGTGACAATCAGGGGGGACCATTCGAGCCGGATGGTGCTTAAAGTATAGTTCACAACACAGACAGGCCGGTTTGCTACAAGCAATGTAACGGTCACTCCCCACGAAAGACAAATTCAACCTGAAGAAATGGTCCAGAACCTGCACTTCTGCATGCACCTGCGGCGTGCAGTTGTCATACTGTTTCATGAAACCCTCAAAGATACGAGATTGAGATCGAGAATTCATGGAAAGCAAAGAATTCCTTATCTGAAGCCTTTCCGGGTCATCCTTCTTCAACATCCTGTTGAGGATACCATCAACCGTGGTTAGATTATCGGGCGCTGGCTGAGGCACTGGAGGCACACGAGCAATAGCCACCACCTGATACGAGTCAAGGACATGAGATAAATGGTCGATATCCTCAACCAGCTGCGACGGTGCACGGATGTGATGTGCCAGTCGCCCTATATAGTGGATGACTGACGCAAAAGGCGATCGTCGGTCTTGAGGGCCCACCAGCTTCTCTTCGTCTTGAGCTTTCTGTTTGATATCGTCGATGACGGCAGACTTTCTGTGCTTATATGCATAATCGCAAAGTGCCGGACAATCATCCTGTCCGAGGATAAACTCAAGCCAGTCTTTTATCTTCTGATCTACTGAGCCAATTAGCATCGTAAGAACCTGGATTTGAGCCTTTACGAACCCTTTTTGGTTTTCACGGATCCTGGTATGGGATAACACTGTCTAATCGCTTGAAACAAGCACTGACGCTCTTTCTTTACTCGGCTGATCGCGAAACTAAGGCAGAACCTGGTAAATTCTTGCTTAAATTGTTCTTTATCAGAGTCTCCCGCAACTGTTGTCAATCGCTTCAGGTTGCTGAGAGCATTCTTCGCGAATTCGACGATTTTTTCGACAGATGCGTTGGATGAAATCCAGAATCTGTAACACGTTTCGCTGTCTTCAAGTCCAATGGCAGTGCAAGAAATACCTCCTTTGGTAAAGTCACAAACAAAGGCAAGGTTACCTAGGAATCGTCGCCGTGCTTGCTCCGAAATAGGACCCGAAGAGCCGACTGTGTGCTGCCCACGGGTCTGTCCTAGTACACGCAAAAGAAATAAAGGCTCATAAAATCTAGAAAGGAGTCTCTTATACGCGCTCAGTCTTGGGGGCCCGACGCGGACTGGGTCGATAGGCAATTGTTTGCTGGTGATATTGTTCTCGACTCTGAATGAATACTTTGCAGATGGCATTATGAATCGATTATAGAAAAGTACGCGAAATATGAAAATATTCGAAGTGTTAGCTCATTAAGATGGAAGAGCAATTGATGATTACTTAGACCACCCATCAAGTTATGTGCCAGATATATACTTCTGGAAATCCGGCCATGAGGTGGGGGGATGAAGGCCATATGCGAAAGGGAGATAGGAGGGAGGAAGACAATGCAATGTGGGAGGACGAAATGCGGGAGGAAGACAATGCGGGAGGAAGTCAATGCGGGAGGAAGTTAATGCGGGAGAAAGTCAATGCGGGAGGAAGTCAATGCGGGAGGAAGTCAATGCGGGAGGAAGACAGTGCAGGAGGAAGTTCAAGCACACATGTTCTACTGAGATTGGGTAGCCAAGACTTCTCGCTGCCCCCGTGAAATGAGGGAGACAACCTATGTCAGCACAAGTGAAGATGCCATGGGCTTTACTTGCGAAGCATACAAACTTGGTGGTCGTTATACTTGATTGTGTAGGATACAGTCGTCTCTCGTTCAAAGCAAGAGCAGATCAACAGCACGCCCAGAAGACAACTGGGACAACTTAGGGTACGCCTCGAATTGGCACATGATACGAGGCGGCCAACCACTGCACATTGGAACCGCTAGAATGACTCCTCTGTCTACATAGTCTTCTGGAATGGATAAAAGGCACCAGGCTGGGCTGCACATTCGGTCTACGGCACTCATCCAAACAGCCTTTTGCTTGCAAAATTTCTTCCTTGGATTGTTCTTCAACACTGAACAAGTGGAGAATGTCTGGCTTGCCTGAATCATCCCGTCTGTCGACCACGGAATCTATATATCTACTTCATCACGTTTTTCTGCCCCCAAAGCTGCCACAGGAAGATGATTATAACGCTGCACATGAAACCCTCCTGCTCGATAGCGTTATTGACGCCCTTGATCGGTTTCAGGATCATTGTCAGGGGCAGGAAAGTGAAGTTGTTGTCAGTGTCAAAGTAATGCTCACTCGCTTGAGAGGGATGCGCGACTGTGATGGGGACGTGAATCACGTCGAGCTTAGAAAAGCTTTAGGAGAGCTGGAAAATTCGGGTATAGCCAGTTGTAACCCAGCTGACGTCCGGAATTCTATTGACACGTATTGTATAGGAGGTGCTCTACCGGTGCATGTTCGCTGCCAGAATGCTGCGGTCTTAATGACCAGGCACAGCGATTCAATCCATGTCGAGACCTTTGAACTGTGGCCTCGGAACCAGGCCGTCAACACCACGGTGGGTCGACTGCAACGCCAATTTCCTGGGCCAACCTTTGCTTTGAATCGAGCCATCTTCAATGAGCCAAATATGCAGAACACAATTGCGCACGCCCTTGAGAGCATGAGTCGTCAGCCTGCCCCGGGGACCAAGCCAAAAGTGAAGAAGGCGCGGCATAAACACGACGAGGATCGGGATACAACCAATCCAATGATGGTGACAGAGCTGTTCACAACATTCCTTCGTCCACAATGCAGAACTGTGGACAGTTTGCAGGTTCGTAAAAACACACGGGAAGAAGTCCTGTGGCTCGACACTCTGCATCCTTGGAGACGTTCCGCCCTCTGGCTCCAGGTTCGAGTCACGACCCAAGTGTTCATTCGGAGACTCTGCCAGCGAGAAGGAATCTCAGTTGACCTTTACAAAGTATTCATGGTTTTTTACATGAGTTCCATTCTCCGCCGCTGTCCCAAGAGCATAAGCAGTGAATACCGGTATATCATGATTTCCAAAATTGTGCGCCGACTAAGCAAGCTTGATCTGCCGGATAATCCCAATTGGCTCCTGTTTGTCCAGTGTGCCCTTCGAGAAGCGAATGGCGTCCTCGAACAAAACTGGAGCCGTATCATCGCTCGTAACGCCTGCCCACCTGATATGTCCGCTTTGACCCGACTCAGCTTTAAAGATGACACTGATTGCTCACTGCCCAATCTTGATGAGTGGCTTCAGAGCATCACAGTCCGTCAGCACTCCTCAGTGCCGCCAGATTCCCACCCACGGTCTGGATTCTTGGAATTTGAACCGGCAGAGCTTCCATCGCTCCTCCAATTGACTGACCCCGACTATCACGTCTACAATCTAGCTGCTTTCGAAGCGTGGGTTGATTTGAATCTTCAGTCCTGGCTTGAGACACACATCGGCTATGAAGACACCTGCGAACGGCTAAGCAGTTTAGTCAATGCATATCATACTATTGCATCCGAGTCGTACGCCTCCAACCCCGAGGCGTTGTCTGCCATGCTTCTTACCGTCCTGGAGCTCTGGATAGCTTGTGACAAGTCCGCCGTCCATCATCATCCGCTGCTTCGCCATCATAATCCTTGTATCCCGATACATCTATTCCAGTCTCTCCTCTTACCTCGGCGGTTCCAGCTTACCAGGTTGGCAAATGCGGAACTCTACATGCGCCAACGTCACCAGGACCTCCAATACCCCGATTCCAATGTTCTGACCGATTTTGGAACCTCATCCTCCTTTTCTGTGCGCTACTTCAATCACTCCGCTGAACACCAACTCCTACTCGACACTATTGAACATAAAGCTAGATCTGAGAAGGCCGCAAAAGTGGTGGAGTTGCACCGCAAGCATCAGCAATACAGGGACTATTGTGCTCGGCGGGATGAGATTGCTTGCACTTTCTACGACGAGATAGTCGACAGGCGGTTTTTCTTTACAGAGCGCCGCCATAGCCCTTCGTGCAAGAGATGCGGGTTTGACGAGGCTGCGAGAGAGATCGCAATTGATGTGTATGAATGGCCTTTATCTTCCGATCCTTTGGAGGCCAAATCTACGGTCTTTGAGTTAAACCTGCCCAGACCGTTTGCATTCTGGCGTGATCTCACTGCTTTCATCTTGCTTGATGTACTGGGAGTCAAATATGTCTCGGAAGAACCGCCTAGAGCCGAGTACCGACCAAGCACCTATAGCGGGCTCTCTATGTTCTACACCGCGGTCGTTGATCACCCAAGGATCGGCCTTCTTTCCCAAATTAAACCCCACCGAGCAACACACAGGCGGAAAAAACACATTATCAATGTATCAGAGAGCGACGTTTGTCTCGCGAACGGGCTGCGTTTCAGATACTTCGACAATGCCCTCCGCTGCTTTACTGAAGACCTGGGCCAAACACATGCAATGGCGACCGCATGCACTTACAAGTTACCGCCATCCAGCTCGTCTCTGCAGCCATTTCTCTTCCGCCCGGCAGAGACACCGGACGGTCCATCGCCCAATACGGTCATTGCATCGCAGCATGCCTGCCCCGAAAACATGTCACTGGGTGAGTACAAGGCGCTCTGCTCAATGCCATTGGGCGTCCATATCCAGTGGCAGAACATCCTGCGGCAGCTCGCTGCACCCTCCGTGGTCTTTAATAAGGTCGAAACGTGCTTTTTCACCCTGCAGATCATACACCAGGCAGGGCCGCCATCGCCCATGAATTCGACCCTGAGAGAAGGCCATCATGTTTTGAACGACAAAAGGTTTGCAGCTCCTCTGCTGCGAGAGATCGAGAAGGCAGCAGCGGCCATCGAACACAACTGGCAATCCGCCGAGGAGTTGAGCGTGCTGATCGCCCTCACCCAAAAAGTGCTGGCCTGCTCCCCATCGGTTCAGATTCAGGAGGAATGCATGGCCCAGCTGGATGGCCTCCGGAAGATTGCTTTCCAATGGGTGACGACCATTGGGGAGGAGGCCGGTTCCACGGACAGCTATGAGCACAGGAACGATCTGATGGCCTCCGCCGCTTACCTCGCGCTGATGTGCGTGGGCACTTTCGACTGCGAGAACAGCCACTTGGAGCGCATACTCCGGAACGATCTGCATGCCTCCGTTTTCATCCAATGCAATATGATCATTCATGACCGAAAGAGCCTCCTGGACGGAGTATCCAGTTGTTTACTTCCAATTTTCTACTATCGGTGGCAGAACACAGCCTTTCGGGGATACCGTATCTTGGCAGACAACACTGTCCAGGGCTGCTCGACCGCACTCGACCGAGCGATCCAGCGGACCTGGGCCGCGTACCGACCGGGATCTCCCTGGACAGCGGCCCCAAGTGGCAGTCTAGGTTGCCTGAACACCCAAATGATGGTTGAACGCGGCAGTAATAGCGGTGTCGTGGTGCGCTTCAACCTTCTCACTGGTCAGCTGCTCATCAATGGTCGTCCACTGGCGCGGTTGCCCTCGAGTTTCGAGCGCCACGACACATATCGATCCCTGTTTGGGCATTCTCTGGTTGAAGTGATGCCTAGCGATCTTCCAGGCTTGGAATTCTCCGCCCAGAGACTGCACATGGGTCAGACGATCTACTTGGGGAGATTACCCATCCCCAAGCAGAGTGGATTCGATCTACGCATTCGAGCCGTGGATGGGAGTAGAGTCTGGGAGTTTGTACCCCCGAGGCTCCTCGCGGATGCTTTGCCGGATGCCTTCGTGGAGGGATACGCCCATTGGTACGAGACCGATTGCCAATTCATCGAGTTTCGTCCTCTCCATGAGCCATGGAAGTCATCACCGGCCTCTCACTGGCGATTGCAGCGGACCCAGCCGGGAAACAACTGGCAGCTCACCCAGGGCAAGATTTCATTGATCAATATGCGGAGCCCGACGGCGAGATCCTTGTCTGATATCTTCCAACCCGTCGAGAAGGCCTCCAAGCTGCACTACAAACTCCACCGTGGGTCTGACATGGTGGAGATTGAGATCCCCCGCCTCCGGCTGGGCTTTGACCTGCGATCCGGTCAGTCCTCAATTGAGTCTCGCCAGTACCGGGGGATGGTCGTCGATCCTGATCAGTCGGTGGGAACCCTGGTCGGCCTGCGTAACAAGCTCGTTTTGCTGGACTGGAACACACACCACCGGAGGGTTCTGATCCCAGAAGGTCAGATAACATGGGAGCAAGGCGGTGGCCATGTCGCCGTCGAGGTTGGTTGGCAGGCGGCAACCCGATGTTACCATTCAGAAGACCTCCCAGGGCCCGGGCGACCATGGCAGTCGCCAGGTTGGGAGCGAATCCGAACACGATCATGCTGATTGCAGTTCCAATCAGACCCATGACCAAGACGGGTTTCCTGCCAATCCTGTCACTCATGCGACCCCAAAACATACCGGCGGAAAATTCGGCGAATGTGAATGACGAAGTGATCATCCCCGCATATAAAGCAATCTTGCGATCATTGTCTGTCACGTGGAAGGACTCAACCATCTGATAGACATAGGGGAATATGGACATGAATGCGATTGGCTCGCAGATGCGACATAGCGCTAGCCCAGATGTCAGTCATGATATTCATTCTAGTAAATGCTCCCCGAGCGCAAGAGGCGCGGCAGCAGAAAAGAAAATTCAAAGGAAAGAATCAAAATCAGAGGAAGAAAGGGGGGAAGAGGGGCAGGGGAAAGAATAGAAAGATCCAACGACAAACAAACTAGCATTCGCCTTGAACACCAGTCTCTCTCTTTTTTTCTCTCTCTCTTTTGTTTCCCCCGACAACTGTTGGGCGCAAAAAGCAAAAAGTAACAGCAAAAGCAAAAATACAGAAGGTCGGAAACGTACCTAGCACGAAGAGTTGCCGTACAGGGAAAGCGGACCAATCATCGTTGCGCTCGCCATGTCGACGGCCTTGTAAACACGACGGGCGTTTAAACATCTTGTCGTTGGACCGTTTGTGCGATTCTAAGATCCACGGGGTGATAGGGTTATATTTGCTTGCTAGACCCTCTAATCCAACAGGAGCAGGCTTGCCAGCGAGGTCAAATGGTCGAAAAGGAATGTGTCTTCGGTGTTGTAACCGAAGGGAGGGAATGCTGGGTATAGTATAGTGATAAGATCGCTGTGCTGAAGAAAGGAGAGAGGCTGTTGGTCAAAGGGGGCTCAACATTTCCTCCCCCTGTCGCAAATTCAATGGCGAGATTCCCGTTCGTTTTCGTTTCTCTGCTTCTGCTGGTCTCCCTTTTGGGTTCGGTGATGGTCAAGAGCCGAGAAACGGCTAGGCTGTGTAACTGCAAGGGAATCCGATGACGCCAAAGTTTGATTTCAACAAACTGGTCGCTTCTGGAGGAAGCTGGTCAAGGTAACGACGAGTGAAGACAGAGAGACAGATCAGTGTTGTTCAATCGAGTAGAATATCCAATTGATCGTCTGGACAGTAGGTCAAAGGAGGTTAGGTCCGGAGGGTAGGTGTAGATATAGCAGCTGATGTACTACTTGATAGTATAGTATGAGTGTCAACGGGCGTTTCGTCTCAATTGAGAACAGGGGAAGCAGATGAATTGAGGTTGAGAGCAGTCAAGCACAGGGGGAAAAAGTAGAAAGGTCAGTCGAAAGGAGAAGCTGGCCGGGCAGAGGAATTAAATGTAGTATTTTGAAAGTGGATAGCCTACGGAGTACTGATATGTGATCAGGCAAAAGACTAAAAAGGTGTCAACGGTTCAGGATAGTAGTCAGTATGGGACAATAAAGGCAGGCCTTTTTTCGGTTACAGCTGTACAAGAAGGATGCAGCTGCAAGCGGACAGCAAACAGCTGAGGAATAGGAAGGATCCACTCTAAATTATTAAAAGACAATATTCTTTTTTTTCTCTTGGTCGCTCGATCTTAGGTTGTTGAATTAATTTGATTTATTTTTTTTTCATGCCGGGCTCTTTTAGCTTCAATTTTTATTTTATTTTATTTTTCCCTCTCTCATATTTTTCCTAAAGCATGATGCGGGTGGGCTACCCGGAAGGATAGGGAACGCCAGATGGATCGGAGCCATCTGACACGACGGTACGGGCAACAAGACTACGGTACCTTAGTCTAAGATACTGGGGTACTACATCCTAGTTTAGTCCTCCGAGTAGGCCGATGACAGAGAAATCAGATTCAAAAGGAAAGAACCGGAATCTGGGATAGGGTGGAACCAATCGCTGCAAGAAAGAAACGCAATCCATTCATGGTACGTACGTACCGTACCCGACTGTACATCGATCCTCAGGAACTGAGGGTGCTGCTGCGCTCCGCTTGGGTAGTCAATACAAACCTGCTGTACGCACCAAGCAAGCAGAGAAAACAGGCCGGGTTACCTGCTATCATGTACACAGTGCAGTACTTCCAAGTAAAAGCGGTATGGGCTGGTCCATTTTTGACAGAACAAAAAGAAAATGGAAGGAAGGGAAGAGAAACCCACTCCTCCATTTTCGACCCATATTGGGGGATAAAAAGGACGAAATAAAAGAAAGCAAGAGGAAGAAACCCCCATGAATGCCTATCAAATCACATACAACCGTCGGAATCAGATTCAGATCGGAGCTGGAATTGTAATCATCGATCCAAAGCCTAGTACGGAGTATTGTCAGACCACACTAGTCTATCAAAAAAAAAGAAAGAAAGAAAGAAATCGAGCAGTAAAACCAGATGAAGTGGGTGGGTAGAGCCGCGAAGCAAAAGAAGAATTAAAAAAAATAATCAGAAATCAAAAAGGGATGGAGCCAGTTTACAGAGAGGGATGGGAAGAACATCAAAAGAGAGAGAGAAAAGTGATGGATAAGAAAACCAAATTAAAAAATAGAAAAGCGATGAGGTCGGAGGAGAAACCGCAAATTGCCCCATTCCAGAGCCGCCGCCGCAGATTGACCGGTAGGAGGAGACCCATGAATCCATGATGGACCTGAGCCCTAGGCTCCGGGGAACAGTAGAAAAGGTGTGTAGCTAAAAAGCCCGCTAAATTGGTCCGTAAGGCAATGATGATCGACTTTCCAGAAGTCTGGTTTTAGTGCGACTTAGTGAGATGATAGATCTTACAGCGACTCCCCCAAGTCCACACCTGGTGTCCTCCCGTCTCTCCCTCTCTAGCTCCCTATCATCGTGCCCCCCGCCTCCCCCTCCTTTCAGAAATCGCATGTCTCAATCAAGAGAGGTCAACGCGATTCCGAAGTCCGAATGGAATTGCAACTACAAAGGAGTGCGCCCCTTCTCTTATCCATTGTGGAGGTTTCTGAAGGAGCAAGCCTAGTCCCCATCCACTATTATGCTTGATGCTCGATGAACAGGTTAGAGGGTCCAGTACCTGGTAGGTGCAGTAAGCATAAAGTATCACCTTCCAAATGTAAAATAAATGTACGTATCAAAACAGCTAAGGCCCATCGCTGAACAGCTCAAGAAGAGCAATTATGACAACATTCATGAAGGAGTCAACATCTCCAAGCTTTGTGCTTCCTTCAGTGTCATTTGACCTGCAATAGGAAAATTACCCAGCAAGATGATGGGTGCCTGCACTGGTGGAGCGATAACAAGCGGTGAATTCCATTGACTACCTACTTAGCTACCGTTGACGAATTGCACTTAGTAAGAAGCTAAAACCCTGCCTGTCTGACCAAGAAAAGACAGCATGAAGCGCTTGCAATCCGGTTCAGAGCAGCGGATCGCGAGCAGAACGATAAGGCAAAATGTAGACTGAGGGGTTCGGCCGAGGAAATGTATAATGAGTGAATTTAAAGGAAAGAAGACTGACAGTGCAATATGAATTGATTGTATTCAAAGGGGAACGAACCAAAGAAAGTTCGCATGGCCATTTGCCGAAGTGGGCCAGGTACTTCGAAATGGCGGCGAACTTCACTTCTTACGGTGAGGAACAAGACTATCACACTTTCTCTCGCCAGACCTGGAGCGGGCCGGCAATGGGGGGTTGAACCTGGGAGGAGAGGAACCATCAATTGAAATTGAGTGGAATCACCAAAACTGGTGAAGATAAAGATTCAAGGTCATAGAAGGAACACTTCTCAGGCGCAAAACTCCTGACTCTCCTTCATACCTGTAGTATCGACTCCATACTGGGGGCCCTTAGAATCCAGGCTCAATCGATTTTGTCGTTAGTTCCCAGCTGTTGCTCATCATCGTGGAACATGACAACTTGCAGTCGTTTCTGCCTCCCTTAACTCGGTCAGATAATGCTGCTATAGCAAATGGTTGCTCGGCTTCTCGAGCAAATGCTCCGGAACTTTAATGTGATCCCCAGCTCCAAGCAAAGCATCATTTACGGAGTAGTTGGCGTATACTTTGGGTGACGATACCGTTACCGTACATGAAAGAATTTCCGGGGAAGTGAGGAGAATCATTTCAGCGTCGACCGGACGGAACAACACAATTAGGGAAGATAAGAACTACAGTCTCCGTACAATACATTCTATGGCAAGAACTTCCTTGGAGAGAACACCGAGAAGTCTCAACAATTTCTGATGCATTCCAAATTTTTTGAATTGCCTAGGGCCTCGTAACAGACCTACCAGCAGGTTTGAACATTGGTGAATAGCAGACAAATGAAACCATTCAGAGGCAATTCTCTGGGGTTTCTCGAAGAGCCGCCACTCTTTTTGCATAATCACCTCTTGGGCTGCCGTCACCTAGCTCTTTGCTATGCAAGAACGAACCTGCTTCAATTCTCTTTGACGTCACTTCGTCGGCTAGTCGCTAATTGACCAGCGCTGTTGGATTTTTCCCCAGCCGCTCGAATAGATGGAAAGACCTGAAACAGCGGGTTATGCGAGAGGAGGGGCCGGGGGTGGGTAGCGGGAGACCAGATAGAGACCAAAGTGAGGGTTCCAGATACCTTCTTTATGATACTAATGTATGGAGCCAACGATTCTGATACCTGTTTGTATCCATTCAGTAAGTGATGCTTAGCACGTCTCTTACGTGGCTGACTACTCCGGCGTTTTACTTGGGAAGTGAGTATCCTAGGACAGCCTTGGACCTACCAAAAGAATCTCAGCCAGTAGCGGCTTCATGCTGATGCTATCCCCATAAGTCGGTAAAAGAGAGACTGCGTTCCCTTAGGGAGAGACAACACTAAGGGCGGGTGGAAGTGGGAAGGACCAAGGCACTGGGATCTCAATTCCAGATGCTTCTTGCCAAGGCGCTCCCCCCATGTCCCCATACCAGGGCTAGGGTAATAAGTAAGTTACCATCAGTTTACCGGGCAGTATGTATGTACAGTACACACAGTACCACATTGGAACTGTCCACCAACTTGCTGCAGTAGGGAAATAGTGTCATGCTGTGGATCCCATAGTGCCTGACTTAGCTTGGTTGAGATCTGAAGCCACGCGAGCCAAACGAGGATCAGAAGAAAAACAATGGATGAGTTTAGAGCTGCAAGTAATTCTTTGACTACAACCATGGTACGTATCTGTGCATAGCAGTGGGGCTTTCTCCTACTATGTATGATACAGACGATCGACCCTGAGCATCCACCATTCCCCCCCTCTCCTAGAAGAATGGGAAATGAATACTATCGTCGCTGTACGAACAATAAAGCTTTTTGTACTTTTCCCCTAATCCATCCATCCATATTCTTTTTAGGGCAAGAATAGACAATGCGCGACGTCATTGTGCTTGAATACACCATGACAAGCAGCAAAGAGCCGATCGGTACCAGAAGGGCCATTGAGGACAGCCAGAAACTCAGGGCATCGACCAATCAGGCGAAATGTTCGACTCTGACCGCTGAATTGATTTAATTTCGACCTTGACTGTTGACCCGGTCACACTCTATCATTTGTCCTGTCCTGTTTAGAGTCCGAAAGAGCAAAAGGGTGAGACTAGAGAAGGTAGGTATACTACAAAGGACCACGCGGAGGGAATGCAACCTAAACTCTGACCCTGGAAGCTTTGAGAGCCTTCGGATACAATTTCAGAAGCAAACAACTGGGAAGAGGGGGGTGAAGCAGGGAGGCAGGTGATGTCTCTCAGAAAGTCTATGCGGAAAGGCAAGATTGGAACTGCCACATCTTACCTCCTATGTGAGAGGCACTCACTCACGCCATCGTAAATCCCCTAATTGAACCGCTCAGTGATGTGAGGTCCACGGTGCCGTGCTCGTGAGGAAGCCTTTCTATCCAGATCGCTGGATGCAAGTGCTTGCATACAGCGAAGCATACCGTCATTGCCCCTCTCCTTCCTCGGTCTTCGAGTCCAAAAACCCGAGTTCAACGGCCGGCTAAGCTGCGATCGATGATCTAGCGGTGTCAGCGTGACGTGCTTTTGGGGAACGCACACCCGCACACCCGCACACCATTACCAGGGAAGAGATGGCTGATGGGCTGTCAGCGGGCCGTCGGCATTCTAGCTCGAGTGACCATGATCGTGTCCAGCTTGATCACCATTCGGACTTTACGGAAAGGGACAGGATAAGAGATGGGAAATGTCATCGCGACGCACCTCACAGAAGCTAGTCAACCTGGATGTACTGCGGATGATCATGTGAGCCTACTCCGTCAGCTGTATGGAAAAATAGAATTTGAGGGAGCGATTGGATGATCGGAGGTAGACCCTGAGACGTGCGGCATCAACCTAGATCGCGGGGCCTGATGAAGGCCTGTCTGGCCATTGATACCGCCGAATCTCTGGCGGGATGATTGAGGAACAATGCGAGTGTGGTGCTGATGCTGGTGCTGCTGATGCTGATGCGCTGCAGGCGCAGTGAATACTGTAGCAGAATAGTACGGAGTATGTACAGTACCAGATAAGTACCTACATACTTACCATCAATCTGCTGTACTGTACTGTACTGTACGGGAGCTACTACTAGGGCATTGGCAATAGACTGCGTTGGATAAGAGTCCGGAAGTAAGCGGTGAAGAGTCAAAATGAGGGGCTTGCAGGTCGCCGGCCGTCTTGGGTATCGCCAGGAGATTATTGAGGACTACAACTGCATAAACTAGTCATCTCTTGTCCGAGGCGGGCAAGGCAAGCTACTTGTCAACGGTCGGCCGATTTATTTTTTCTTCCCTTGCTGCTGTGTGTTTATTTTGACGCCAACAGTCTCCTCCATAGGTCAGCTGGGGTTGGTTTTGAGATTGGGCAGAAACCGGAACGTTGCTGCTGCTGCTGTTAATGTTGTTCCTCGAGTCATGCCGGGCGCAACCGTGTTCGAGAGGCCCTTGTTCGTCTTGCAGGCAGGGCAGAGTGGAAACATACGGTGAGCCGGCCAGCATTACCTGATCTGATACCAGTCCCCCTCCCCCCTCCCTCCACACGAGACGGGGTAGTTGGCAAGCAATCTTCCGGAAGTGTTCTACCGCTTTGACAGCTGGGCCAAGATCCTCTTTTCATGCAAGGTAGCTTGATTGCTACCGACAGATTGTCGTACTGGCGGGGCATTGGGCTGCCCCGCGGTACATGGCTGTGAGTGCGGTGTACAGAAGAGCGTCTGGTAGGAACCAGGGCTATTGGATGAGAACTGGAACATCAGCCCATCGAGGCAACACTAGCTACGGAGTGGTCTTGCTCTCCTGAATCTATGCGCTTGTCTTCCGCTTGCCTATCTGTTCGGTTGCTTGCCTCCTTGACTCAGCTCTTGTTGTTTACTTCTGCTTATCACCCTCTCTATCCTCGGTTGGTCGCAAAGTCCATCGAGTCTATTGAGGCAGGATCTGCCCCTCGTGCCTCCAAGCACAGCCTACGTACAGTACCTCCTTAACACCAAAGGAGTTGATAAGCCAGTCTTCTTTGCCTATCTGATATATTTACCCCTCGTACTAATCTCCGATTCGCTTCAGATACTGCAACGGCCCCCATCTCGTTGGTGGGGGGGAAGGAGAAACTGTCTCGGAATCGTCCATTGCTTTCTTACCCTTCTCTGCTGATACAACACAAATCCCGCGGGCGCTCTTAGCCGGTATACTTGCTTACGTCTCCTGATATCTTTCGTCATCTCTACCCAAGGGGCCTAAAAGCTATCGACGCGATGGTTGTGCCGTCGAGTTCCCTCAGCTGAAGTCAGCTTCAAAGAGCCAAGCCACCCGCAGTGGATCGGATTATAGGCGCATTTCGCGCCCCAGAATGTCGGGTCCGCCGTCGAGGATTTATGAGGCTAGATAAGTCATGACGCCCACAATTCTGCATCCACACGGCCATCTTCCGCTAGACAAGCAGGTCGGGTCCGCGGAATATTGTCCCTGCGGTAGGTGGGTGTATATGTATGTATGTATGTATGTATGTATGTATGTATGTATGTATGTATGTATGTATGTACAGCACTGTACATAGTACCTAATACATACCAAATGATCCTCTACTTTAATTCTTCGAAGTTCTTTCTGCCGAGTCCCACTTTGACTACGACTAGTTTAAGAACTTCACTTATTATGTACTTGGTTAATGGTTAATTACAAATTCTCTCCTCATTGGTGATGAAAGCATTTAGGCCAGACTGTGAAGTCACCCGAGGGTGTCAGTTCCCGTCTGCCTCATGTCGGTAACTGTCGGTGTATGCGCGGTAGTGTACAAGTGTGTGTGTAGTGTGTTTCAGGATGACTTGTTAGGTAAAAGCCCACCCCTCGCCTTGTATAGAGCCAAACGCCGTGCAAGGTATGGATCAATGAGCACATGTATCGAATCCTTCTAGAATTCGCTATGGAGGGCTAAGGGATGGGGATCCTCCCCAGGATGAGCGGTCTTTCGGTCATGCCACCGCCCTGGAGTTTTGACCAGGTACCGAATTCACCAAAAAGGTAAAGATGATCGGTTTGGTCGGTCGGTCGGGTCAAGTCCTGTGAGGACGGGTGTGGCGGGTCGAGTTAACCTTGTCTTGCTTCGATCTCCCTTCGGCAAGGTTGTTTCTTGGAATTTGGTCGTTGACGACACGAAATTTCCTATTAGTATTATAGGGAATGTGGTGATTTGCATTCTATAATATTAATATTCAGTAAGTGTGTTCACATCAGTGATTAGCGGGGACACAGAGAGGGCGATCTGCTTCTCAGCGATGCGGCTAGGCTAAGGACTGTACAGTGTAACGACAGTGCATGTGCACGCAAATCTTCAGAGTTGCTTATTTTTACGGCCGCGCATATCTATTCGCAAAAGAATTCCATACTCGGTTTTGGTACCACCGTGTCGAATTTGGGAGTGGTCTTCAACCGTACAGAGATCACCTTTGCTTCAGTTGCAATCGACACTGTTCCGGAGTACGGACTTTTCTCGATCGAAACAAAGAAAAGTGGGAGGGAGGAAGAAAAAGGCCTCCAACGGATACTTAGCGGCGGGGAAAAGGTTTGACCATGAAAGAGGCAAGAACTGGCCCACATGCCTGTACTGCGTGATAGTCTCCCAGTATGGACTGCTAAGTACAGTGCTATTCGCTCTGGAGTAGGTCAGTAATTTGAGCAAACTGGTCAAATCGCGAATCAAATCTGTCAGATTGAGTACACATTGACACGGCACAGCAATGTTCTACTATCTCCAAGTATAAGAAGTACCGGAAGCCGCCGTACCTTGTCCAGAACCATGGGTATCTCAACAATGGAACCGGCTTGTCTTCCCCGGGCCAATGAGTACAACCAAGCACACCCAGATGGCAACTTTATGGATACCTAGGGACTAGTCATGTCCAGTTGAATGTGAAACGTGAGATTTTGGCTGGAGCCAACATGAAAAAGATAAAAGAGAAAAAAGAAGAAGAAAAGAAAGTTCTCTAATATCGCGCGTCCTGGTTACTGCACACGGTAAAGCTAGTTTATCCTGTGTGATTTGCGTGACCTCATTCGTTGTGTCACCAATTTGCATGTACACATGCTCATCCACATTTTACCGCCAACACGGCAGGGAGTTTTCCTCGCCCATTGCATGGCGCTAGGGAGAAAAAAAGTACGGCCGAATCGTACTTTGCTAACTGAGCACTGCTGTATGCCTGTGAGTGCCCTCCGTAGCTTTGCAAAGTAATGTACCAGTACTCGTAGTTATTAGTCAAGCCACAATATCTTAGATATCTTTTGGAATGCAACACGGTGGGCATAGAGAGGGGCTGGTCAAAACTGATCCGAATTTGAACGCCCGCGCATATCAATAATCAAAAGGAGATGGTGATTTGTTGATTTAGTTTGTGGGTCGGGCTACCTGATGAGATGTAAACAAACAGCATAATATAAGTATATCTTCACTTTGAACCCATCGTGTGACTTACACCCTCTCCCAATCTCCCACGTGCGCTAATGAGGCTGTCGCCGTGGCGGAAGAGATACTAGTAGGTACTGGTTGACTCGGCGGCCTCTTCTACCCAAACTGAATTGAAGACAGTCGGCAGTGAGCATCCATGCATACCTCGTATACCGACGACCATATCAGAACGAGGGTCGTACTCAATTTCGCTTTTTTCCTTCGTTGTACTTCTTTGGTTATGGTCAATAAAAGAATTTTCGGCCCGAAAGAAATCAAATTACGTTGGAGACCATCCAATGCCGATGTCAGCGTAGGACGGGCTCCGAAACATGTGTTCTACTGTCGAGATCATTTTGAACCGTCTGGCTGAGACCTTCAGGTCCCCACGTCATGTACGATAACTTACTCCGTAGCCTAGGTAAGCCACATTGGTAGGTAGGTCATACGTCAGGATTTCCCTGAATTGGGCACTGCTGTAGATAGCGAATCCATCAGCATCTGCACCTGCGCGAAGCCACAGTCACAATTGCAAAAGAACCCCTCAGGTGGCGAAGCCAACTGATGGTGGGAGGATGGATCTCAAAGAGAAATGAAGGAGAAAATACTGGAATGGGACTTTCTTACTCCAACGGAAGTTGGGATCCGGTGCCGCGGCGACGGGTAACGATCGAGGATGGATGGGTCTGTTCTCCAGTTCCTAAAAGAACATTAATCACTTCTTGAGTCATTTGTGATTGATGATTGATCGACTTTTAGCCTTTTTTTTCCTCGCCTCCTTTTTCTTTTTTTCCCTTCATTTTTTAAACCCTGTTTCCAGACATTAGACTTTTCTTTTTTTGCTGCGCACACTAATAACTTATTAGCCCCATCTTAGAACCATTTCTAGCCGGCCCGGGGGGAAGACGGAGAGGAAAGGGTTGCGTCTGCTTTCGACATCGATCATGTGAGCTGTGAGCTGCAGGGGAAGCAAATCCTCCCCCTTCCGACGGTATCAGGAACGCGACCCCATTCGCCCAATTCCCTTTTGTTTGGCTGGTGCCTCCACTGCGGAGCCTCAGGCCTGGTCGAACGGTGGCTGTTCATCCAAGGAAGGCGGTAAAACTGGTCCGGGGACATGGATGAGATGTATCATCATTGTTATCGGAGGAGAGGGGAAAGAGAGGGGTTTAAACAAGCTAACCTACTTTGTGCCGTGACTACTCACATAGGTTCATTATTCGTATGGGAGTACTGTACATATACTTGAGAAAAAGTGGTCGCGAGGATCGCGTACCCACTCATTCTCAACGTGGGCGTCCCCACCCTACATCAGAACATCAATCGAATGCATGGTAGTCTCCCTGACGAGGTTGTTAGTGTCGCTAGGGATTCAGCACTTTCATGGTTCCTCCATAGTCCTTGCTGGGATTCGTAACACAGAAAGCGTACTTTGTGTGCACTGTCAGGCCATCCACACCGATTGACTCTCGCGCCATGGAGAACAAAGAAAACAACTGGTATATTGCGTGACGACCGTACTACTGCCGCATCATTATAGACTATAGACCAATGGCATTGTCATGTAGGTTGCTCTGTGTGAACGTCCGCCCATCATCCACCATCTCTATCTAGGCGATGGACCAGTGTCGCGTCTAGATTCGCTGTTGATCGGTTACTTGCCTCCAGATCATGACAGTACAGTCCGTACATTTGAATTGCTGCGCTTATGGCGGAGGGATTCTTGATTCGACTGCTGTCGCGGTTCGGCTCCTTCACTCTTAGCTTGCTCAGCCCTTTCCAGGTACCGCAAGTGACTACGGAGTACCTGCCTAAGGTACTGTACTATCTAACCTACCGTAACTTTACCTTAGAACTCATACTAGTAGTGGAGGGTAGCATGTGGACATTCCCTCCGAACCATGAGCCCGAGAAACTGGGCTACTCTATGAACTGCATACATGCAGACAAAGCTGCATGTACGCGTTCCGTACGCCATGCTCGATTGTTTCATCGTTCGCCTTATGTGGAGGCCACCGTCTATCTATCGACCCACCACGGCCATCTACTCCTACAAGCACCTGCTGCTGTTTCAATGTCTGACATCTTTGGGATTCAGGCATCGGGTTGCACAACTTTCTCGTCGCCCACGACACTCCCATAGCCGATCTCACCTGACTACTGTCGCGTAGCAGGCTTAGTGGTATTGGTGGTGGTGGGACAGGTCCACGGGTGTCGCTGCTCGACCGGATACTTTCAAACTATGCTCGTCCTTGGGACCTTTTACCTAACTTGGTAATCGTCTCTCGTTGTAGGCAGGCTCATGAATAACCCGTGACCGCGATATGCGACCGCAGACTCTCAGGACAACCAGAGTCATCGTGCGTATCTTTGGCATTGCTACAGCGAGGCGGTCTCCGACACCTATTGGGTGTTTGACCACTTGCCTTGGAAGGGCGTATACTCACTCAAGTCATGTGATGTCACGTGCTGTGCTCTAAATGAGCTTCCTGTCGGGAGCTGGAGTTATGCTATCATAGCCAAGCGTCCTACTACCGGCCTAGCCAGCAATGAGATGTCAATTGTCACTGTTGAGTCCCGAGATCTTCCCATTTCTGCCACGGCGCATTGTCTTGATGCATCGGTGAGATGGTATCAAGAACCGAATAAAACAATATCTGCGTTGGCTTCTTGATCGACTTTGATCGAGAATTTGTGAGCAGATCTCCATCTTCTAGACAAAGAAACAAAAGCCTTGATTTTGCGAGTCGTCGTAATACATGCAGGTTCGATGTAGATGCAACCGCCTCCGTTGACGATCTACCTGACCCCCCTTGGCCATGACAGGGTTGACATTCCCCAGTATCGATACATGCACGGGTTACTCTACCATCCGAGAGCCTAGGCTCTAGAGTTCGATGGTACCAAAATAGACAACCCCACTCATCTTTGGACTGGAAAGGGTCGATCAGATACATATCGCAGATACGTCAAATGAGATGGTGATAACTATAGGATGCTAAGTTACTAGTCATCATTGATCGCTGAGTCAGTGAAAAGAACAGCCTTTTTTTTCATAATACTACCGTATGTATGACCTAGGGATCACCTGCAGCTAGATTGGAGCCGACAAGCCACTTATGCTCAAATTGGATAGACAGAGGAGCCGATCGTTCGGGGCACAGCATGGGCAAAAGTACCTGGTGAACAATTCTTCGGAAAGTACCAATCTACTTTCGGCTAGGCAGATACCTTGCCAGGGAAGTCTGACCTGGACCTGAAAGTGAGGGCTCGATCAACTTGTAATTGACAAGCCAGGCTAACATTGAAAGAAAAGACCAGACTATGGTGACTGTTTACTCCCAATTTATGACTCTACATAGACAGACTGGGTGTCACTCGTCTTTGTGCATCAGCTGTTTACAGGCATTGGCGGATAACTTTCCCACCCCCTACGCAAGTGGTTGAAAAACTGAAACGCTGGCTCAAGGCTGGTCATCATGACATCTTGAACAATTTGACACCCTCATTGCTTAGCGGGGTTCATGATAGGTCCATGAAGAGACGGATGGTCCTGGACAACTTGTGGCGGGAGACCCGCGGATTCATCCCCTCCCCTCCCACTTCCATCCCTGTCTAAACATCCGAATTACTCTGTGAATCCTTCTGGTCTTCCCTCCCTATCACTCACTTCCCCCCACCCCACATGACTGACTCTCTTTGCTGCCCGCATAGAGGTTTCTTTCTTATCTGCCCAGTGCTGCAGTTTTGTCTCTTTGTCCCGCCGGTCTACGTTGTCTATTGGCCCAAGTCAAATATGACACGTCCAAAGCTGCGACCCACTTGTCAAGCCCACAATGTTATTGTCGCTTCTTTGCCACTCTGGGGAACAGTCCAGATTCCAGGAAAAAGACGAGGAGCTGCCTTCACTTGAACTCACCAACCAATCTGAGAATCTCATAGATCCTGACCCTTTGTGCAGCATACATGTGGCTTGGTTGCTATGGTGCTGGGGAGCGAGTCTGTCGCAGGGCTATATTGTTCGAAATCAATCCTTCGAAAGGGATTAATCAGAGCGCGAGTCGCGCGCGCGCATTCTTGCGTCCTTGGTGAGTAGAGATTGTGTCACTCAGCATAAGCGTCTCGGACTTGCTTGTCAGTTCCAGTGCTGTCAGCTTACCGGTCACGGTCATGCGTCAAGATGGCAATGAAGCAAGAATTGAGACACTTCCTTTGTTGCTCGTCAACAGCAACGTAGGGCTTGCTGCCATGCATTTCGTATGTTTACCCCCTATGCCTCTATTTGCAGACCCAATTCCATTTGCCGGGATCATAACCCGTTACTAACTTGTGCGTCTTTGCGCCACAGGTTTTTCGACTTGCGTGTTCAACAACTTCGGTAGCTCTCTCACTCAGGTTCTCGGGTCCCAACTGGTGGACTTGGAATGCTCTATGAGGTCTGCGGGAAGACTCACTTGCCATTTATTGATGGCGTCGCTGCAATGATAATCGGCTTTCTCCTTTCTTTCCTGAACACTAAGTTGGAGCCATGCATACTATCACCGGTTGGCCGATGCTTGGATAAGGGAGGGGTTGCTGGCTGGCTATCATGGCTACTTCTACGACCACGGCTTGACTCCGGGTCCTTCAGCATGTGGCTGCCTCAATGCCGTCTCGAGACGGTGTGCAGACGAGACATGCCGTCCTGCATAGTCTACCTCGATGCTGCCCGCGAAGGCAACTTCTCCCAGCCTAGTGACCCAACGAGTTTTCAAAGCCCACCCCCTGCCTTAAGCCTGGTGTTGGAATTTAAGCGTAGAGAAAAAATGCCAGGAGAGATGCGAGCGCATTTTTAGGTGAGAGTCCTGCAATTGTAGATGAGAGGCTTGGCTATTTGAGCCTATATGTCTTCACCTTTCGCAGCAGTACCCTGTATGTACACAGGATTGCTTACCTTTTTCCAAGTCACGGTTTGTGGAAATCTGGATCGGCGTTCTGCAACAATCTCATCTTCTTGAGTAATGGCCTGAAGAGACTTGCTTGGGTATACTCAGGTGATGCTTTTGGCTTTTTCACTGCCCGTTGACAAGTTTGAAGATTCGTGGGCATTGTCTGTGTCGTGCATATCCCAGGCACTCGTCCACTCCCATATATATCTATTATTGCAGCGTGAGCATCGTGCACATGCTGACGGGTGCCCATAAGCCTGTATGCTGCAAGATGCACTTGTATTCCGTGTATAAGCTCAGATATCAGTTTGAATCAACGTCTGAGGATGACAATCCAATCGTACTGGTGAGTTGTCTGGCTGCTCTACAAACGAGGAGCACACCCGCGCAAACCATTGGAAGCGGAGAAAAGCTCCAAATACGGAGATATCTTATCATCATGTGCCGATAACGTCACATGATCGTCAGTTTTCCTCGCCTACGACACTGAAGTCATACGCATCGACCATTGCCGATCTCCAAGCACGCATCACAAATCTGCAACTGGATTCATAGCTCTCCCAAGCAAAGGAGAAGATGAATTGCAACTGATCGTACAATCTCTTCAGCCACAAGTGTGAAGTGTTTGTCTGACAATGAACAACATCCGCTAGTATTTTCGAACGCTCATCATGGCCGCTCAACGAACATGCATCCTACGCTCATTTCCACTTTCAGGCGCTCAGCGGTCGGCCCGACTACATCAAGCCCCCATCGCATTAGCTCGCGTGCTGAGGCATTGCCAACGTCACAATAGCACCAACCCTGATTCACAAGGACCCATAAGCCAAGCCATTGTGCCCGACCAACAACCTCTCGAAACCTCCCATCTCAATCCTCTACCGGACGATTACTCTCGGTTTATATTCCAAGATAAGTGTCGCTCGACGATATGGTCAGGCTCAGGCGGAGATGGGTGCGTCTCGTTTCTTCGCGAAAAGTATGTCGAGGAAGGCCCACCGAACGGTGGCGACGGCGGCAGCGGTGGAAGCATCTACATCCAGGCCGTTGAAGGCCTGACCAGCTTACACAAGCTCGCCCGGAGAGGTGTCATCAAGGCGGGACGAGGCAAAAACGGACAGGGAAAGAGCAAGGGCGGCAAGCGCGGCGAAGATGTACTCCTCCAGGTTCCTGTTGGTACCGTCGTACGCGAAGTCGATCGGTACGACCCGGTCGCGGAGGAGGAACTACGTCAGCGACACGAACGCATGAAGGGCTCTGAAGAAGCGGAGGAGATGGAAGAGCAGGAGTTCGGCATAACATCGATTCGCCGCGATCGTTGGGTTTTGTACCCCGGAGCCAATCCGTCCGATTATTTGACTACGGTATTTCCGAAAAGTCCGCCGCGGCGGCAGCACATCGCGTCCTTGGAGCCCAAACAGCCCATCAGTCTTGATCTCTCACATCATATGGATAAACCGATGTTGCTTTCGGCGGGTGGTGTGGGTGGGATGGGCAACCCGCACTTCGCGCACCGCGCAATGAGCCGACCGAAGTTCGCGTCCAGAGGGGAAGGTGGCAAGCGTCTGGAGCTTGAATTCGAACTCAAGCTTCTTGCGGATGTTGGACTGGTGGGGAAGCCTAATGCTGGAAAGAGCACTTTGTTACGCTCATTGACCAACAGTCGCACACGAGTCGGGAATTGGGAGTTTACGACGCTTGAACCAAATATCGGTACGGTTGTCATAGATAATCACAAGGGAAGACCTCTGGTCGAATTAGAAGGCCGGAAGCCGCGGACGAACTTTACGATTGCCGATATACCGGGTCTGGTCGAAGGTGCTCACCTTGATCGCGGCTTAGGATTGGGTTTCCTGCGACATATCGAACGAGCTGGTATCCTTGCATTCGTCGTCGACCTTAGTGCCGGTGATCCCATTCAAGGTCTCAAGAATTTATGGCTTGAGCTTGGTGAATATCAACGGATGCGTGAAGCAGAACATGCTTTGAAACTCGAGGAACTTGCATGGCCTGCACCAGTAGACGAGCTACCGGATTTCTTTTCGTCGGAGGAAGCGCCAGAACCTACTTTCGTGGTCCCCGACACTAGTTCCACCAGTCCCAAGCAAGACCTCAATCCCCTCCCGGAGCTTAAGATGCCACCGATCCATACCAAGCCTTGGTTTGTCGTGGCCACAAAGGCCGACCTCCCAGAGACTCAGGAGCAGTTTCAAGCGCTGCGGAACTATCTTGCCGCCGTGGAAAAGGGCGAAGCTGATCACCCGGGTGGACTGCAAGAAGGGTGGAAAGAAAGAGTCTGCGCTGTTCCCGTGAGCGCCATCAAGGGTGAAGGAGTTGCCCGCATTCCCCGACTAGTGATGGAACTGCTCGGTTGATTATGTGACTGGCAGAAGCTCATATGGACGTCTGTGCAGATAGTATGTAGAGTACAGCACGCTACCTGGCCGGACGCATGTATGTAAATATAGAATAAGTAAATGAAAACCTCATGCTATGCCAATTGTTTTCCTTGCTTGCAACTACACTATTTCTGCTAAATATTGTGCTTTTCTCCCGAACATTCATCATATATCTTGCTTCCAGTGCAGTCTACTTCGAGGTCGAAGACCGCCGTCTTCTGCACAGAAATGTTGTGTTGAGTGTCCCCGCATGACGTCGGGCGGCCCGTCAAGGAGAAAAAAAGGAAGTCGCGGGAACGGGTTCAACATCGCGGCGGCGCTGGGCCACCGCCAAAAGAAACCTTGGATACAAACCAAAAAAACCTCCTCCACCTTTGGCCAGTAACATCTCTAATCCTTCGCCTTGATCGCACTATATTCATCAAAAGAGATAGGGATATCTCGGATGCCATGAATACCTCACTTCCAAAAGTCATCCTCCACGCAATCACGTCCATCCGGAGAGTTAACGAGGACGATCCCATTGTGAGATGCCGCGCAGGTCGTTCAAAGGACCTCTCCAAAGTATTGCTACACGATCCCGAAGGTGCAATCAAGGAAGCAGACTCCCACCTACGCGTCTTTCCCTTCAAAGATGTTGACGTGTGCTGGCGTCGGCTATACACGGATGCCAGCATCCTGAAGGCCTGCCTCAATGTCTGCACCAATCTCGTATTTCCTGCCGCGGCCCACTTGGACGAGTCTTATTACTACCGCCTACTCTATAAACTTAGGAACCATGCAGGTGATGAGGACATTCGCATTGATTCCAAAGCTCCGTGGCTTACGCCCACTATACACTTGCTCGACCGAGCATTGATCATGACTGGCGCGCCCTTGCGCGAGAATCTTATCGAGACCCTGATCAATGCTCTCCAAGCATCCACTAGATCCGCACTGCAGCATGCAGCACCTAAACAACCAGAGCGCAATCCTCTCTTCTCCCCGGATGCAGCACCAGAACCCCAAATAAAACATCCCATTCCTCGCGTCTCGGCTCTGTCGTTTGAGCAGTTCAGAGCGCATATCTACAAATCTCGAACTCCCATGGTAATCACTGATGCCGTGGAACACTGGCCGGCCCTAACGACCCGGCCGTGGTCTTCCCGTGCTTACTGGGATGATCGCACGTTCAATGGTCGAAGGCTCGTGCCCGTGGAGATTGGTAGAGCCTACACGGATGACGACTGGGGCCAGCAGATTATCCCCTTTAGCGAATTCGTCGACGATTACCTGGATCGGGACCGGAATCAGGATGGCCCCACCGGTTATCTGGCACAGCATGACCTGCTGACCCAAATTCCAGCTCTGCGAAACGATATCTGTATCCCTGATTACTGCTATGTCAATCCCCCGGGGCCGGAGCCAGGTACACCCGTGTATCTCAAGAAGCGGCTGGAAGCGGAGGAATCCAGGAAGAGAAAGGCTGAGCAGGGAGCAACTATCACGAACACAGACATTTATGCTTCGGAGCAGGTGGATGCCAGCGCTTTGGAGACCGAATCCGCAAGCGATAACTCTGTGAACGATGATTCAAGTGGTCCCTACATCAATACCTGGATCGGTCCGTCGTGGACCATTTCACCCTTGCACCATGATCCATATCATAACATCTTTGTTCAAGTAGTGGGCGCAAAGTACGTTCGACTCTACTCGCCTCATACGCCCGCCTCGCAGATCTATCCTAAGGGAAAGGAGGCTGTGAATCGATCATCGGACGAGATCTCCAATGAAGGCGATAGGCAAGCAGACATCCAACTTCAAAGGGAATTAGTTGCATCCATCAACGGAGAAGACCCTTCGTCACCAGAGATGACCGCGAGGGAAGATGAGCAGTCTCAAGCGATTGACATGTCGAATACCTCGCAGGTGGATCTGGCAGCCATTGAAATGTCCCCGGCCGAGGCTGAACAGTGGGAGGACCTATGGCCGGGATTCCTGCAGGCAGAGTACGTCGAGACTATCATCAAGGAGGGCGAGTGCCTGTATATACCTGTGGGCTGGTGGCATTATGTTCGTAGCTTACACGGAGGTATCAGCGTTAGTTTTTGGTGGGAATAGTCAATTGCCCCCTATGCTTAGATCGGTAGCAAAAGGCAAATACAAATTAGATCAAGCCCACTAAAGGATCATGATGTAGCAGGCGGAGATACCCTAGACCTGATAGCTTCCAGAATATCCCTCTGGTGTTCGCCGAAGTCGACCGTCATGAGTCTCATCCAGGAGCAACAGCGGATGATGGTTTCCATCGAGAGTGGGAGGATATAGGATATAAGGCGCAATGCGACCAATGCGACCCAAAAGAGTCAAAATAGGTCGGCATACAAAGGAATACTACCTAGTGAGATGGATGGATAGATAGGTAGATCGATAGATAAGTAGATAGTGGGGTGGTCAGCAAAGTTCGGTGTCAGTGTGGAGCAAAGGTGAGGCCAAGTCAGGATACCAAATTGGGCAGCAAATGATGAAGCCGGTTTCAATGAGTTGGCGGTGGTAAAATGGAGTAACTACTAGAAGTAAGCCAACCTTAATAAGTCCCCGACTAAGGAAGGTAGGTAACGCTAGTTAGGGTGTGAATGTTTGTTTGACTTTGCCCAGGGCACCCAGACTTCTCCAGGTACTAACTACTATCACTACCACTACTACTACCCCGGAGTCCCTTTGGCCAGGTCCAGGTCCAAGCGTTTGACTCCCATTCTTTCCAGTTTCTCTGTCTCTCTTCCGATTGCATGCACTACATCGATTTCACTGATAAGTTATACCTCACTTAACAACAAGTCCAACGTATGACTCCAAAACTGAAACGAGCTGAGGTCGAACTGCTTTCCGTCCAATCCCTCCAATACTGTCTCGTCTCGTGCTTTCTTCCTCGCGTGCCTTGCTTGAGGTTTCTTTCTTTTCTTTCTTTCTTCCTTTCTTCCTTCCTCCGTTCTTCTTATTCTTCGAGATACTTCACTGTTCACCTGTGCTATATTGACGATAGCTGTGTCTAGCTCTGTCGGTGCATTCGTTCTTTCCTTGCTAACCAAAATAGCCACCTCGAATGTTCGGTCGTTGTGGAGCCAGAAGTGGATGATCGTACTGTATTGTTGCTCCGGGAGATCATGTTCGCTCGGAACGCTTTATCGCGGCGCGCTGTCCGATAGGGAAAAAAAGTTCTTGTTGAATTCATTGAATCGCCTATCAAGGAGGTTGCCCCCCCAGCCTTGGACTAGAGACGCAGGAGGTAAGTAGTTATCTCTTGTACTGCTACATATATTGGAATATTTTCCAAAGGTTGGGCTAATCCTGCATGGCACTAACTAGGGCCTCTAAGGCTAACCAGCGACGAATTGATTGCTTTGTTTTTGTCCCCTTTCCCCTCAGCAACCTCCGAGCCGATAGAACTCGACTTCGATCCCTCGTTTGCAAACTTTCGCCAAATCGCCTCACTCTCCCCTCTCCTTCTATATATCTCTAGTCGGTTCTTTGCCGCTCGTTTACTTGGAGGACCATTCGAAATCTAGCCCTTTGCTCGCCGCGAGAGGTCATGTGTACAGCACGGTCAAACCTTGGCGTGATTCTAGTGGCACACAGTCCTTCGGCGAGAAGCAAACAATTGCAGGCCCGGCCGTCCTCTCAAGATGGTTAAGGCAGACGTGCGGAGAGACTACTACGCGGACTTGGGTCTCACTCCCAGTGCAGAGACGGAGGATATCAAGAGGCAATTTCGAAAATTAGGTGAGAATAAGGCCTTGTTGTCAACCTGGCTAGGAGTGCTGTATTAACCCTTGACAGCTTTGAAGTACCATCCCGATAGGAATCCTGGCCGCGAGGTGGATTTTATCGCCAAGTTCCAGGCCATCCAAGCGGCTCATGAGATCCTCATTGACCCCCAACAACGATTGCGGTATGACACGGACCGACTGCGCGCTGGGTACGGCAAATTTTATGGCCCCGCTAAGAGCACTACGCCTCGAAAGACGACTCCCACTCCTCAAGCCTCCACATATTCTTCAAAACCTGCATCTACGAAGCCACATTCTACGACACGTCCACAGTCCTTCCATGCGGCGCCCTCGAGCGGCGCCCAACGTTATGCCAGCTATGCACGCGCGGCGCCGAAACAGCCATGGGAGAAGGCGCATGATGAGGGACAGACAAGGGCGGACGCATATCGAGGCTTTCAGGATATGAAGGGAAACGGCATGCCGGGCGGATGGTCATCATTTGACCCCCGTACCGGACGCGCGGGATACAACGGAGCCACGCCTAGACCCACCAAGGCAAATGCGCAGTCGGCAAGGCCCAAGTCCGCTTTCGAGTACTTCAGGACATCCAATAAGTCGGAGAGCCCAGAGGCTTCACGGGCCCAAACCAAAAAGAAGAAGCAGGGGTTCGCTCCGCACGCCGCGGGCGGCGATGAGCCTATGGCCACACACACTTCCTCATACACAAGTCGAAACGAGCGCCCACAGACCTCGAATACGTACTTTGGAGCTGCGCCGTCACCGACGGCGAAGAAGACCGCCACTAACCGGACAGATACGCCTGAATTCGAACGAATGAGAAGTAGGTATGCTAGCACTGGAGGAGAGAGAACATTCTTCGACAGCGCCAACCTTGGGCGCTCTGCGAGCACGCGGGATTCTACTGAAAGTCCCAAACCTCGCTCCCGGACCAACCCACCCAGCCCGTCTCCTCCCGAAGGTGGACGTTATCGTAGCGCTAGCCCGAAATTCAAGGCAGATAAGAACACAAACTATTCGTTCACGAGTAGTTCTAGTGATCTTGACGAGGACGACGATGAAGAGTTTCTGGCACGGAAGCCTAAGGCGGTCCCCAAAAGCCGGCTCCACCCTCACAAGAAGTTCACTGCTTTTCATACAGAGCAGACCCCGGAGACCAGGTCCGGTGAGTCTCGCCTCTTCCCTAGAACTGTGCTGGAGTGATTTGTTAAATAGCAGAGGGATGTCTTCTATGGCATTCGTGAGTGCTAACGAGACACGTGAGCAGGGTCGACTGCGAACGATACCACATCAGCAAACAATCCCTTCGATACGCCTAATATCTTTGGCTTTCACAGCCCACTGAACTCGTATGTGTCACACTTGAGTGACCCTTGGATCTCTGAACTGACGACTTTTGGCGCATAGACAACAAGAATCCGAGCAGAATGGCGTCCCGCCAAACAGAAGCTTCAAGAGTAGTAGTCATAAGCAGCTGCGAAACACATTCTTTGCCGAGAACTGGAATGGAGCTGCTTTCTTCGATGGTGCTGCTCAAAATCTGGATGGACGAGGACGAGCAGCGACTCGAGATGACACCGAAAGGAAGGGACACTCTGCCGATGCGCCCGATCATGAGGGACCCATCCCCGAACCAGAGCCTCAGCCGACTTCCTTCGCCCAGTTTGGGTTCCCTGCTGATCAATGGACGGAGATGTTCAAGAACATGTCATTCGAGCCGAAGAATGGAGGGGCTCAGCAGACACAGACGGCCTCTGCCCAGCGACAGAGAAGTCCCCGCAAGCAAAAGACGGCGACCAAGACGCGGCCTACTCCTAAGCCAGCTACTGTTACGGCAGAAGCTGACGAGATAGCAACAACTCTGAACGGGGATACCACCCCGGAAACAGCCAAAGCGGGGGGCGTAGAAGCAATGGATCTTGATGACACGCCACCTCCCACGACCACGGAAAGATCGGATGAGACGAAGAAAACCAACAAAACAATACCAATGGTCAAGCCAGTTTCAAATGAAGAGCAGAAGGACGAGAACGCCAAGAACTTTAACCTAGAGGACTTGAGCAAGACGGTTCCTCTCACACAAACCACAAACGGTGGCATCGAAGACCTTCAGGACATCCATGTTACTTTGCCGTTCGAATCCCGTGCCAATTTCCCCAAGACAACGGTGCGCAACGCCCGTCCTCGCGACTTGGACCTGCCTCGACCGCCAAAACGGCCGACTATGCCTGAACTGATCCCTCTCAGTGCGGGCTCCGCACAGATGGGCTTATCTCGCGCAGCGTGGGAGCGTTACACCGCAGAGATGGCGGTATACACGTCTGAATGGAACGCCTTTAATCGTCGCATGTTACAGCATTTTAATGCACGCCAGGAGGCCACCGAGACGGGGATGGCTCCAAATTGGATCGGTGCTATTGGGGATGCGGCCAAGGTCAAGCTAGACCCAGAGGACGGACTAGACGGAGCAAACAGTGACACCATGGTGGCAGGCAGCGCAAAGGGAGGATACAATGCGTACAAGCTCGCATTGGATCAGGATCTTAGGGTCTGGAAACACTGGGAGGTAGCGCGGGAATTGCACTACGACTGCATCTCCAAGCTCGGAGACTTGCGCGATTGGGTCATTTCGGGGGGCAAGATGCTATAGAGATCAACGGGCAGAGTATGACTTATGAGGTATTGGGCCACATTTCAGCATCACTCTCAGCGACCGTCGCACGCATGCATGCATTGGACTAGGGCGTTGGCGTTATAGTGATTGTTAGTTACTTGATGATATCCCGTGTATCATATTCTACCAATGCCATGGATATATCCTGGGAAGCGTATTTGGATTGCAACCTTCGACTCTAACTCTAGCTCTTGGTGATCCGTTTCATGTTATTCTGAGATTGTTTTTGGATTATTTTCGTCTCCTGCTGGTAATCACCCATTCACGATTCGTGATCTGCAGAGGCCCTACTTGCCAGCCCCGAGCCCCAAGCCCTAACTCTATCCCGATACCGGTCGGAAGTCCCCGACCAGCCAGAGGGAAAGGATGAGAGCACTGGGCTCCCGAGCAGCAAATAATACCGCATACGGCGGGGTCTCCCGCCGCGGGGGCTCGAGACGGTAACATGAAATTACCGGCAAACGGGGGCATGATGCTAGGAAAGAGTGCGGGCGGCACAGGTTGCTGGGGTACGGTATGGTACCAGGTGCCCGCGGTAATGGGCACGCACCGATCGAGGAGTCACCGGCAGACCCGCCCAGCAGGTTAGTGAGAGTGCCGGGCTATATATCATCTTCCCCTCCGCAGACCTTCCCTTCCGTTTCTTTTTTTCGGCTTTTTGGTCTTTGACGGTCGCGAACTCTTCGCCGCTGCTCC